GGGGTGTTGAAGAGGAGAAGTCCTCATGGAACAAACCACTGCCCTTCTCCTATGGCCCCCACAGAGCTCACTCCTTCCATTAGTGTGAACTGGGCCATAATGCAAAGTGCTGGGTCTCAGAGCCAGAAATCAGGCCTGTCCCAATGTGATGTGGCCCTGGCTCTGGGCCTCGGTTCCCCCAGCCATGAAAGGAAGGGACTGGCCTCGAATAGGACTGGAGCTGGCGCATCCTAACCACTCCCATAACAGCACCATCATACCAACCCTTCACTTTCCCGGACGCTTGGCACTCAGTAAATGTTTGCTGAGTGAGTGACTCTACCTGTGGTGCCACCAGCCAGGTACGGAGGGGCTTGCTGCCCAAAGAAGGAAGTGCTTTGCCCAAGGTCAAGGTGAGAGGCAGGGCCTGGGTCATAACACAGACGCCTCTGCCTCCCCATCTGGCTCAAGGGACCCAGGAGCAGGACGAGGATGGGGCAGCCAGCATCGTCATGGTCAGGTGAGATGACCACCAGGGCCCAGTAGCCCCAGCTTCCTCTCCTGTCACTTCCACCCAGCATTGGCACAGAGCCCAACTCAGAAGATCCGGGCAAGACCAGGCCCAGCAGGAGCTCCGGCATGAACTCCGGACTCCACCTCACGCCCTTCTTCCCCACCCCCCCCCACCACCCCGCCCTCCCCTGCTCATCCACTCCAGGCAGCAAAGCAAGTCCAGAAGCCGGGGCAGCCTCCAAATCCAAAAGGAAACACCCACTGGGTAGGGTCCTGCCAAGCCTGGGCTGCTTCAGGCACTCGCGGCCCAGGGTCCATAAGACCCTGCGGGAGTGATCACTAGGTGTCCTGAGGAGGTACTGGGGGCTTGTCCTGGAGGAGGGGACGAGGGGCAGGCAGTCAGCCAACAGTACTGGGGTTGGGGGGGGGGTGACTTTAGAACAGGCAGAACAATGGAGGGGACCACCTCAGGGCAGGGGGATGTCACAGCTGGAGTCAGTCAGCCTAGAAGCGAGGGGTTGGGAGGCTCTGGACGCAGGAGGGAGTGACCCAGAGGAGAAATGGCTCAGGGAGTCTGGGACTTGCCAGCCAGACCCAGGTGGACATGGGGGTAAAAGAGGGAGGCTTTCTCTAGACACAGCTGTCCCCCAAGTTATGCCTGTGCAGTGGGTTGCGGGGCAGAGCAGAAGTGGAGCTGGGGGGATTCCCAGGTTGAACTGACATTTTAGGGGCCAGGGCCAGACAGCCCTAGGCTCCAGTCCCTTTCTGTCCTTTCCTGACCCCAGCTGACCCCTGGGCCAAGCCCTCAAATCTCTGAGCCTCAGTTTCCTCCCACCAGAGCCCACAAGGCAGCCTCCTTACTCCCAGGGTCCCAGTGGGGTATGGCATGTGAGCACACTATGCAAATGGTGGAGACCCTTGGTCAGCTGGCAGGATTGTTTTCCTGGAGGCGCCCAGTGCTGACTCAGGCAGCTCAGTGGTCTCCTGGGGCCTCCACAGTCTCCCCACCCGCCCTTGGCCATGATTGGAGGGGGCCAAAGGCTGGGTCTGAGTCCGCTCCCCAGGCAGCCATCTGCCAAGGCAGGAGTACGTGTGCACACACATGTCACAGGCTCCCGCATCGGGCCCTCTCTGTGGCATGTACTACCTGGCCTCTCAGACAGTGCAGACCAAGGGCCTGAGGAGGCCCCAGCTACACACCATCCCCCACCCCCCAAGTCATGGCCTGGAATTCTCAGCCCCCTTCCATCTCCCACCAGGGGCATCTGGAACAGATAGGAAGTCCTCCTCTATCAGAATCATTTCCCATCTCTGTGCCCCCAAGGCCCCTCCCAGCCCGGCCACCAGTTAACCAGAACCCTCCATCCTATCTGGGAGCGGAAGGGGGCATGGAAGGCCAGAGCTCCCCCCAAGAGGCCTAGAGAGGGGGGCCTCTACCTTGCCCAGCCCAGGGAGCTTGGAGAAACATCTCAGACAAGACAGTCAGACCTCTGGGGCTCCCTGGGGATTTGGCTGTGTGTAGGCTCCCACCAGAGAGCTCCGCTGGAAGGGTCCTAGAGCTGGAAGGGAAAGGAGGGCTAGGGACCCCTGCAGGTAACCCCCATGGAGAGGTCTGGAACAGAGGCAAGGAGGATCAACATAAGGAAAGGATGGATGCTTGTGACCCCGTGTGCACAGCTGCTGGGGCCAGCTCAGGCTCCCCTCAGAACAGGGTCCCTTCTCATTCCAGGCTGGGAAACTGGCCACTAGACACCACTACCACCCCCCAGCTATAACAGACACCCAGGAAACTGGGCCCCAATACCACTGGCCCTTTTCCAAACTGAGCCTCAGTTTCCTCATTTATCTAATAGGGATCAATAGATCTCTCTCACAAGGTTAATGTGGAAATTTCAAGTGACAGGTGTCAACACCTCCGAAGTCCACCCAACCATTGGAAGGCACTGTGTTAATTTTTTTCAGGGATTTATTTCAAGGTGTTCCCCCCATGATCTCCATCCTTGACCCGCTTCGCCCCCACCCCTCCCTGGGGACCTAAAACGGCATTTGTATTAGTTGCCCAGGCAGCAGAGGCTTATGGGGCTACGCGGGAGCCAGAGGAGAAACGTGGGTCTACTCCAGGCTGTGCCCCCGCATGAAACCCACACCCCGCTCCCCTAGCAAGTCCTTTGTAGCAAGTCCTTTCCTGTCCCGGCATCAAAGCAGTTGCACCAACTCTGGCTAATCAGCAAAGTATTAGAGGTCCTAGTTGACCATTCGAGTCGAGTCACCACCTGGCCACTCCTGAATTAGAATCCTCCAGGGTGGGGCTGAGGCATCCACCTTAGAAACCACTGGGCAGATGTATGCCAAGGGCCTTGAAGGCGCTGCGGTGCCCCACACCCAAAGCTGGCAGCAGGCTGGGGCAAGGCTGGATGTCCTGACGTTCTCAGAGGTGAGCCCCCAGACATAGGTCTGGGCCTCAGCCCCTCTTGGGCCCTGTCACAGGCCCTGAGAGGGGAAGCAGCTCAGGCGGGGTAGGGGAGAACCACATCTATGTGGCTGGCCCCAGATACCTCCTCTCCAGCCAGCAATGCTCCCCACCTCTGAGAAGGGCACTTGTCTGGGTGAAGAGAGGTCCACCTGATACCTTCCAGGCATTATCTCTCGGGCCTCAGTCATCTGTGTGAAATATACAATGACAATAATAATCCTGAATAGAGGAAGAATTCTCTGCAGCCTAGGAAAAGGCAGCCCCCCATCCCATTCCGCCTCGCTCAGGCCTCTCTGTTGCAGTCCCACTTAGGTGAGAGGCCTCCCCTGGAACACTGGAGGGGTGAGCTGGGAGCAGCAGTCTTCTCTGCCCCACCCCAGCGTCAGGGGCCCACCCCAGCAAGCTCAGTTGCAGGCCCCACTCCCCACATCTGGTCCCTGGCCACAGCTGTTGCCACCCTCCCTCATCCTGGGATTGCCCCAAACTCTGTCTAGCACCAGTCCCTGCCCCCTCACCCAAGTGGGAAATTGGGATTCCAGGCCAGTCTGGGTAGATGGAAACCCACAAGGGAAAATGTCAGGAAAACACATTCTTCCTTCTACACAGCGGCTCAGACCCTGGGAGGATTAGGTGGCAGAAGACACTCCCACCGCCTGGGGCCAAGGGCAGGCCAGGGAAGGAGAGAAGAGAGCTGTGAGGACTGAAAGGTTGGGCTGAGAGGGGTCCAGTCCTCCAGACAGACCCCAGGGGGGACTCAGGAGAGCTTTGTCTCCTGCAGGCCAGTCTCATTCAACATGGGCACTCCCAGTGAGGCAGCCAGGAGAGCCCAGGCAGAAGACATGGCTGTGGCTACCCATTTGCAGCTGGGCTTTTTAGAAACAACAAAAGCTTTGGGGGGACGCGGTTCACAAGATTGTTTAAAATGAGGTTTTTGGATGTCTGTGGCATCCAGTTATTCATACTGGCTCCACCCACGGATAATTGAGAGTTGGCTTTTGTTGGCCTTATCCCCTTTCTCACTGCCCCCTCCCCAGTCTTCTCATGGACTGTGGAGCTCAGCAAGCTCACCTTGTCCGACCTCTTGGTTTGACAGATGAGGAAACTGAGACCCAGGAAAGGGAAGAGCCTGGCCCAAGAACCCGGGGGAGTTGGCCCAGTCAAGAGTCAATTCCAGGACAGCAGACTCCTGGGGGGGGGCTTTTCCCACTCACCCTCCAGGCTGTGGTCCAGCTTCAGCGAATCCCCCAAAGCCACTGACCCCAAAAGCAGCGGTGCCTGGAAGTGGGGTGACTCACTGTCTGGCTTCCTAGGGCACCCCCTCCCCATCAGTGAGGGAGGGACTGGCAGGTGTCCCTGTGTAGAGAGCCAGGAGCAGGGAGAGGCCCCCCAGGGGGCCTGCACCAGGGTCACTCAGGGGCCGAAGAGCCCCAGCTGGAGGGATTTAACACCAAAGGTCAAAGGTCATAGACAGGGAAGGGTGGGCAGGCATGGGGGGGGGGTCAGAGGGTCAGCGCTAATGGCAGCTCCGGAAAAGGAGGGGGAGTGGATGGGGCTAAGGAAAACAGGGCTGCCTTCAAGGGGTCCCCAACCCCCATAAATGGTGCCCCAAACCCCTGGCACTGCCTCCTGCTTGGCAAACTGCAGACAGGGCCAAGCGGAGCAGCGGGGTGAGCTATGAAATGGGCTGGGCTGAAGAGGGAACGGGGTATCCAGGGAGTGGCCCCCAGGTGCAGCCCCTCCCGCAGTGTGGGCCAGGGCCAGCTGGGAGGCCCAGCCATGGCCCAGAGGGAAGGAGGAGGGGCAGAGGGAAAAGGCTCGGAGGTCATGAGGAGGGATGTGTGGGCTGGGCTGGAACAGCTGTGGCACTGTGGCACCCGTGTGGGGCTGGGGGAGGGCTGGGTGGGTGGGCAGACCAAAGAGGCCAGTTTCCCCTTCCCTGTCTCTGGGGGCTGAGAAAGGCCCTCCAGGAGACACTGCAGAGACACTGGGGAGCCGAGTGTCTCCAGCTGCGGGCTAAGCCCCACCTTTCCTCTAGGATACCAGGACCAGGCACGTAAGACCCTCAGGATGGCTGCCTCCCAGGACCACAGCTCGGGCCCTGTCCCTGGCCCAGACCAAGAACCACGGGAGCCCAAGCCTTGGCCAGGTCCTGGGCTGGCCTGGCTGCCCCTTCAGTGTCAAGCGTTCCCTTCAGAGCCAAGATCCTGGGCTGAGATGGCTGGGGGCCCAGGGCTCCTCCCAGGATCCCGTCCCGCTTCCCAGGCCCCAGGGCAGGGCCGGGTAGCTCCCTGCAACCATCGCTGCCCCGGGTGGCCTGGCCAGGCAGGATCTCCTGGACAAGAGAACGGGCAGCATGCTGCCCTGCTGTGGCCTGAGTACCCGGCTGGGAAGGGCAGGATGCCAAGGCCTCCAGGTGCCAGCTTGGATTCCAGCCCCATCCCAGGGGGCCAGCGGGGAAGCAAGGCGCTGGGCATCTCCCTCCCTCCAGGTGCACCTGCCTCTCCCCTTCCCCTGCCCCTCCAAACCTCTGCTCAGTGGCGTTGGGTGCCCCTGCCCTCCCCAATCTGCCCGGCCCTCTGCTTGCACCCAGTCAGCAGAGGAGGAACAAGTGCTGGACTGGACTCCAGCTCCCTGTCCAAACGCGGCAGCACCCCCGTCCTGATCCTTAGGGACGCCTCCCTCCTCTGCCCAAGGAAGGGCCGGGTCTCAGCAGGGGCAGCAGGGGGTAGACTTTCCAGGACAAGGGAGGAGACACCTTTCAAACCCCGTTCTAGAAGCAGCCCCGGCGCAGTCGTGGGAAGAAGCTGCCCAGCTGCCCCAGACAACTCCGTGCCCAGGCTCCGTGGCCCCCCTCTCATCCTGCAGCGCACCCCCACCGCGGCTGCCCAACTTCCCCGCCGAAGTTTGCTCCCGCCCCGGGCCGGGCCGCGGCTCGGCCCGGCCACGGGACGGAGGGAGGGCAAGAGGGAGGAGAAAGACACAGACGGAGGGACGGGGGCCGGAGAGCCGGCGAGGGAGGGCGCGCGAGCCAGCGAGCGAAAGAGCGAGCGCAGGGGCCCCAGCGAGGGCTCACAATGGCCCGGGGCGAGGCGCGGGCGCAGGAGGGGGGGGCGACCCACGAGCCCCGCAGCCCCCGCAGTCCCCGCGCGACAGGCCGACCCCCCCGCCCGGTCCCTGTCCCCACGGCACGACGCCCGGTGGCTTCCTACCTCGGCGGCGGGGGCGGTAGGGCTCCCGGCTGCGGGCTCCGGCGGTCGGGGGGCGGCAGGGAACGAGCAGGGGAGGGGCCG